TCATAACGTATTCTCCGCAGAACGGATTCGTGTAACAGGTGAGGGCCGAGGGGCTTTTCCGCGTGGGCATGGCCACGCCGGGCCGGCTGGAGACTGGGCAGTAGAATCCCGTCCTGAAGGGCTGTTCTGTTTCTCCCCTCCGTTTCTGCTCCAGGAGCTGCTTCTGAGTCGTTCTGCTTCGGCCATGTCGCCGGCTCCAGGTACAGCCCTGGCCTCTGCCTCGGTCTCCCTGTTGGACCTCACCGCGGAAGCGCCACTCGTTCGGGGCCTGAGCCTGGTGAGCCAAGCACCCGCGGAGGCTCTGCCCGGGGCGTCGCGTACTCCCTGCCCAGGTATCCGAGATGCTTTAGGGTGGACGGGGTTCCGTGGAGTCTGTTAACACGGAAGACTTTCACACCACGATTTCCCAGTTTAGGAATCCACACTGATTCTGTTGGAGACCCCACCCCCCAATATATTTCATCCTTGGGTGGTTTATGGCGCTGGCCCATGAATTGTCGCCAAATAAGTCTCTAGTTTTTGTTTATATCTCGTCACGTTAATAAAAACAGTTACTAGGCCTGTTTCAAATTGTAATGGACTTTAGTCAGATCTATTACCTTGTGCTAAATAACTGATTTTATACATTAGTCTTTGCATTTTTTTTTTAGGTTGCCTGCTATAACCGGAATTGTGAGATGTAAATTGGAATCTAGGAACTGGTTTTATGTAGTTAAAAGTAATTTTAATCTGGGAGTTGAGGCACACACCAGCAGTTAGGAAACCGAGGCAGTAAGAATTGGGGGTTCCAGAACAACCTAGACTATACAGTGAGATCTTATCCAGAAAAAAACAAAAACAGAAGAAAAAAAAAATTTTAGTGGTAGAGAATGTAGCTCAGTAGTAGACCTGGGTTCCATCCCCAGTACTGCAGAAGTATTATTTTAGGGCTTAGTAGGGAGGGAGCTGAAGTCCAGACACCTTGAAGTAAGGTTTTGTTTAGGTAAGATGTGGTGCAAGATTCTCCCTGGACTTGTTTTCTTGAGTGTGTGCTTGCTCATCCTCAGTAAGGCCACTGTGTGCCTCCACAAGTTTACTGTTGGGATCAAGGGGGTCTAAGGGGCTTCCCATTATCTGTATCAAAGTAGGTTTGGTTTTTTTGTTTTGTTTTTGCTTGGTTTGGCTTTGAGACAGAGTCTTACTACATAGTCTTGGGTAGCCTGGAACTCACTATGTAGAACAGGCTGACCTCTAACTCATTGAGATCTCTCTGCCTCTGCCTCTGCCTCTGCCTCTGCCTCCTGATTACACACCACCATGCCCAGCTTCAGTTAAGTTTGGTGTAGATCGACAGGCGTACTTCTGGAGTTAATCTTTCTGTGTATCTAAGGATGTGGAAAACATTGACTCAGGAAGCATTTTCCTGATTGATGAAAACTGGCTGTTTTGATACTTTACCCTTGCTAGACACTTCTTCAGGTGTGTTAGGTAGCACTTAATAGATGGGGGTGGGAGTGTGGGGAGGACTGAAAGGAGGGGGTAATGCAGTCCAGAACATGTTAAGGATAGATGAGGTCTTAAAGCCTCAGCTCCAAAAAGAAAATGATTTAACCTTCCATTTGTTTTCTACAAGACTTCCCTAAACAATCCATTTGGATCGTTGAAATGTAATGTTTGTGTTAGTTTTATATGTATCTTTTCAAAAGTATATTTAGCATACAAAATAGTCACTGTATCATTTATTTCATGATTGCCAGATTGTAAATTCTTGGCAGGCAAGATTCTTTTTTTTTTTGGTTTTTTTGAGACAAGAGTTTCTCTGTGTAGCTTTGGAACCTATCCTGGCACTCACTCTGGAGACCAGGCTGGCCTCGAATTCACAGAGATCTGCCTGCCTCTGCCTCCGGAATGCTGGGATTAAAGGCGTGTACCACCAATGCCTGGCTCTTTATTATCATTTTAATAGGTATTTGATATAGTTCTAGGTACTGTAGGTTCACTGTAGATTGGATATAATCCCTTTCTACTTTCAATTACCCTTTTCTTCTGTTCAGAAGAGAATACAAGTTCAGGAAGAAAAGTATCCCCATGTTCTCTGGACATTTCAGAGAAACTATTTTGTTCAGCCTGTGACCAGATCTTCGAGAACCACCAAGAACAGGTAAAAGGCCAGGGTATAGGGCTAGCTGTAAGCAGCAAAAATATCTTGGTGGGTGGGATGAGGTAGACTCTGGTTTACCTTAAGTTTATAAAGATCCATACTTTGTCTAATGCACTTGGTGCTAGGTGGTTAAACTTCCTAGAGTTCTGTGACTAGCTTTGCTTACTGTACAAGGCCAAGGTAGGATGTATTTCCACTCTCTGCCTCCCTTTTCCTTCACGCCAGAGAGAACATTATAAGCTTGATTGGCATCGCTTTAACCTAAAACAGCGTCTCAAGAACAAGCCTCTCCTGTCTGCTTCGGACTTTGAAAAGCAAAGCTCCACAGGTGATACTTGGTATGGGAAAGCCTGTATGGGAGCAGGTATGGGTGGAAAAGGCACCATGGGGTTTGAAGAAAGTACAAAGTGGTGTGTCAGACTTGGTTGTCCCATATTTGTCTTCAGGAGATCTTTCCAGCATCTCGGGGTCAGAAGACTCAGACTCATCTAGCAAAGAGGACTTGCCAACACTGGATGAGGGGAGGGCTGAGTTTGAGAAACCTAACCGACCCCGAGGATTCTACCCACATCGTGTCCTTTTCAAAAATGCCCAGGGCCAATTTCTTTATGCATATCGCTGTGTCCTAGGCCCTCGACAGGCAAGTAACAATACAGGTTGTGTGATCAATCTCCATTTTCATATACTGGACCTAGGGTTTCTTTAGCCAATGCGTGTCTTATTTTCTCCCTTCCTTTTGGGTTAGGCTGTCTTACCTGACAGCATAACCTTGAATTGAAACTGTCCAGAATCTTGAAAGGGTCAAATGTATGGGGATTAAGTCTAAAATGTGATTCTACCACTCCCATCTTCTGCAACTACCTCTCCAAGCCTCAAATATCCTTCATTGTGAAATGGAAATGAGGCTAAGGTAATAAATGAGATAATGCAAATGTAACACGTGGTTTTTTTGTTCTCAGTGCATGCATCACATGGAATGTTTCTGTTGCATCTGTCATATAGGTTCCCCCAGAAAAGGAAGAATTGCTAATACAGAACCTGCAAAGTGGAGGTCCCAGATACTCCGTGGTGCTCATGGCTGCGGCTGGGCACTTTGCTGGTGCCGTTTTTCAAGGGTGAGAGGGTGCTGCATGGGGCTTAAGGATGGACCCCATTAACCTGGGAGCATCATCTGGTCTACAGTACTGAGTATGTACCATCTACAGAAGAGAAGTGGTGACACACAAAACCTTTCACCGTTATACCGTTCGGGCCAAGAGAGGCACAGCCCAGGGGCTTCAGGATGCCCAGGGTAGGGCATCACGTTCTGCTGGAGCCAACTTGAGGCGTTACAATGAAGCCATGCTGTATAAGGTGAGTTGTGCCTCACAGATCTCTGTGATAGCCCTCTGATCTCTCAGTCTTTATAGTTTTCTGCACAGACAATAGAATAGGGATCTCCAGAAATATTCTCTTATTCTTTCTCTCTCTCTAGCTGACACTCCCTGCATATGATCAGAGGGCCATTGTTTTGTGGAGATTTGTTTTTTTGGGTTTTTTTCTTTATATCAGGTGAAACATGCTAAGTGGAGTTACTTTCTTTAGGATGTTCGAGACTTGCTGACAGGGCCAACCTGGGCTAAAGCACTGGGTGAGGCAGAAACAATACTGCTACGTGCCCCACGCTCTGGCCGGTCCTTGTTTTTTGGAGGTCAGGGGGCACCCTTGCAAAGGGATGATTTCCGACTTTGGGATATACCCCTCACCACCCGAAGACCCACTTTTGGAGAGCTTCAGCGTGTGCTCCATAAGCTGATGACCTTGCAGGTGTATGGTGAGCTATTCCAGGCCGTGGGACCTCATACACAGACCTGTATATACCATGGGGTTTTCTAGCATGTGGACTGCAGCCCAGTTGACCTGGACTGGCTTCTCCACACTTAAGTTTGAGAAAGACTTTTTTGTTTCATGACAGATGACGACCCTCGAGAAATGATCAGATTTCATTCACTTGAGACACAATGGAAGCCAGAGAGAGAGGAGAGGAAAAAGACTACTGATAAAGAAAAAACAAAGGTCCCCAGTGATGAAAATAAGGCACTTTTGCAGGATGAAGAATTACTCAAGCAAGGTTTGAGCACCATCTGGCAATTGTCATATATATCTGCATGTCTGCCTTAGAAATGCAGTGGCCAATTCTCATAACTTACCCATCTACCAGTTGATAGGTGAGCCCTTAAACCATTCCCACATCTGCCGGGCGTTGGTGGTGCACGCCTTTAATCCCAGCACTCGGGAGGCAGAGGCAGCAGATCTCTGTGAGTTCGAGGCCAGCCTGGTCTCCAGAGCGAGTGCCAGGATAGGCTCCAAAGCTACACAGAGAAACCCTGTCTGGAAAAAAACAAAACAAAACAAAACAAAACAAAAAAA